GGGAGCCAAATACAGTCGACACTACTTGACGCAGCAATGTAGTGAACGAGGCTGGAGGAAAAAAAGTGGAGCAAAAACTTTGGTAATGATAAAAGCGTTCATTGGAAAAAAAAGCACATTGGATCTATAGTCCAGACTCTTGAAAACATTGACAAGAAAAAGGACTCTTGATTCAATCAGCTTTAAGCTTAAATCAAAAGGAAATCCGCTCAAATTAAGAGGCTTGGTTCTTGATTTAAGCTAGATTCTGATTGAGTCAAGAGTACTTTTTCTTGTCGATGTTTTTGAGAGTCTGGACTCTAGATCCAATGAGTTTTTTTTTTCCAGTGTAGAAGGACCTGTGTTTCTGGCTGATGAACGTGATTTAAGAAAACGTCAATTTTCCCATAACTTGATTCTACCATTATTTGACAATTATCCTTTCAAAGCCTTGAGATGCACGAGAAATAATTTTTCGCAGTATGATAAGACATAAATTTTGGTAAAGGCAGATAAAACGGCGAGCTGATCCCTCTTGATGTTACACATGCAAAATCATGGCTGAGAAGAGAGTAAACGAACTGCCGTGAAAAACAGGAGGAAGAAATTAACATAGGAGGTGTTTGGAAGATAAAGGACGATTATTTCAATCGTATGAGAGAGGATGGAAACCGAATGACAAATAAATGAGAGATTATTAAGATTTGCACCAATTAGGAGCACTCAAAATCTTCCAGCAAAAAAAAGAAAACGAAAAGAAGAAATCGCAAAATCTCACCGCAGCCTTCCTGATTGTTCGAGACCGTCATTGTCGTTTGACAAGTTTGGAAAGCTAAACTAATTGAGAGACAAATTTTGATCGTGAGAAAAATAAGTTTGATCGAAAACCAATAAAAAGTATTTGAGAATCGCGTCAGGAATCATGATACAGACGTACGATGCGCATTCTTGGACAAAAATTCTGTTCGGCGAGGTGATTATGTTGGAATGCTCAAATTTGCATGCGCGCATTTAAATTAACAGAACGGTATCCCTCGGATACCTCTTGATAAACTCGCTGGTCGTAGAAAGCGCCAGACAATATCAATCCAATCGACAGGGGGTATTTTGGGAAAAAATTACTTCATTCGCACAGAATTGTACAACAATGATAGGTAGTTTCAACGGCGAGTTACATGTTAAAATAGAGATAACAAATTGCAAGTTTTTTTCCACCTAAAATTAGGTTTACTTTTCAAACAACGGTTGAAGCTATGCCGATGGAGCGTAACTGCTTAGTACGAACGAAGTATGTTCCTTTGCTAGGAGGCGAACTCATACGAAAACTATAGGGAATTTCTTTGTTCAATGCGGCAACATTAGACTCGAACGCCCGGGGCTGAAATAAACCGAACATTCAGAACTTTGTTATTTTAATGCGCGACTAATTAACTATTGGACCGGCTGCAAGTGGCAAATTTGACGCGATTTGTCTCATTAGCGAATTGCTATAGCAGCTGTTTTTTGTTGAGGGCAAAATTTCGGCTGAGACGCTGAGGGCAGCCTGCGATTCCTGCAGCATACCCGATGGAAAAAAATAACGTATCTCTTTTTGTTCTCATTCTCCATTTCTCACTCTTCGTTTCGCGACTTAAAAAACAGGAAGGAGCAAGTTACATTGAAGTTTCTCTTTCGTGAAGAGGCGTTTGGAAAGACAAGGAAAAGGTTGCGATGGGAGAAGTGGGTGGTTCATGAGGTTCATTAAAAACCAAATTGTTCCCTTTAATAATTCTTAATGATCATTGCAACCTTTTCCTTGTCCTTCCAAACGCCTCCTCCTGAAAGAGGAACTTAACCTAGGTAGCTCCCAATCTTTTTTCTTCAATTTTTATGTATCTTCTCTCTTTTTTCCTTATATAGTTCGAATCTTGCGAGCGTAGCTTCATGCCTTAAATACTCAGGATTTTGTGTGACTACATAGAACATTTGAATGTACAAAACAAACGTATGAGCAGAAAAAAAAGGGGGGAAGGGTTCTAAAAATATAATAATCACCGTCTGTTATTATTATTACAATTAAAAGTCTTGACACAGTAACGATTTCCTTACAGGACGCACAGCAGTCTGTGCACTCGAAGTTCCGATACGTTAGCGTATCTCGACTCATCATGTTTACGCTTCTAATTGAAAAACACGTAATCTTTTGAAAGGTCCTTTCATGATAACACCCTCAGTATTTGAGCTCGACACTATACTCAACAGCTCCTTGGTGGAAACTTCACCACCACATTTTGAGGTATTAAATTAAGTCGACTGCACATAAAATCCAACGTCTAGACTTCGCACCCTTCAAAGGCACCTCGAGACCTGGAATTAATATTTTCGTGCACTTATCCGTATTTTCAGCTCATTATCACGTGGCCTCGTTTCATAAGTCATTAATTCTCGTTTCTCTTATCTCGTCATATTTCCGGGTCTTTTCGTTTGAATACCAGTTTGGGCGTCGCTGCCAGACCGAACAGCTTTCCTTTTAACTGGAAAGGAGACACGTTATTGTTTTATCCGAGAACTACCAAAAAATGCCATTTCTCATCCAAAAAAGATTACACCGCAAACGGACTTGGGCGCTACGTCATCTCAAAGATTCTGGTTTCTTAACTTCTATATTCGTGCGATATGTACTTTGCACGATCCAAATCTGGGCGATGAAAATTGTGGCAGACTCACTTCTACAAATGTTACTAATAATTTAGATAAAAATTAAAACTAAGAATTCAATGTTTTTGGTGGATGCCTTCCTGACTGAATTGAGTACCACTTTAACAGTCTTCGCAACTCTACAATCTGACAGACTCGGATCTGCTGTATAATTAAATATTATTGATCATCAATGTAATACCTAAATGGGGTGTTTTCAAAGTTCAAAAGCTTGGAGGCTCCTATCATATTTCAAATGTAGATGCATTTGAAATCAGAATACGAGGAGAGGAAGAACACATTTTTCTTCTTGTTTTTCTTCTCCCTGACTTTTTCCTCATCCTTCTCATCCTCTTCCGTATTCACCCACTCTCCTCTTCCTTATCCATCCACTATCTCTTTCTCACTTCCTTTATCCTGATTCCCTTTCGCCGATGTCTAAAGCGCTCTCATCTGACATATCTTGGGACCCTAAAACATGAGTCCGTCAAAAAAAGATAGAATGGGAAATTTTTTTCATTTATAGCAATTTCAATGCCCCACACCTTTAACTTCGCCAATTGTCAACCACTCCTAACTCTCTGAAACCTCCCAACTTATGAAAAAAAACGGACCACTCCCGAGGTGACAACCCCGCTCGAATCCACTTGTTATCACACTTTTATCAAATCCCTTCACCACTCGAGCACCTTTTGTCGAGGGGTCGCCTTTCATCAGCCGCTAAACTGATTACCGTCGTCCACGAAGGCATTTTATCCGGCTGCCAGGGCGAGAGGTGGGCCTTTTACGACCAAATTATCAGCATTAATAGCCCATTAACCTCGGCGGAAGGGCGCAAGTCGAGCTTAAAGCACCGGGCGAATAAAAGCGAGTCGATACTTTCAACCTCCGCGAGCGGCGAAGCGCAGTATGAGTCGAACTTCGACCCTGCGAGGAGGAGATCGTGGTGCTGCACGATCCTCGTTCCTCGCGGCGAATTCATTTGAACCCATATTTTCATAAAAGGAACACGTCTATCCTGCAATGAGCCCTGAGATACACGCAGTTTTATCGAGTCCGGGGGTCATCGGGAAATGCGCGTGTTGAGACGCGGCGCGGCACCCACGGCCGAGCGGAAAACGCGAGCGAGTCATTAGAAATTTGAAAAAGGCGCGCACGCAATCCCGGCCGCAATTAGAGCAATTATTCCGTACACAATTTTTTGATCGCGCGGCTGAATGGGGCTTAATCGCAACAAATATCGCACTAATTATCGCGACTTCACGCGAACCGCGGAATCCAATAAAAAGCCGTAATTGTCCAAGTTATTGGATCGCCGGAATGCGACGAAACATCTGCCGGGATGCGAATGCTCCGAGTGCGGATGCCGCGCCTCGAGGAGCCCGATGAGATACGTTCGATTTGTGAAAGAAGCGGTGGAAATTTTACAATATGAGGAGCTTCTGCGGTTGAAATGGACGTATTTCTGCCGAGCGGAACTATGTGCATTAGGACATGAGCTCTGAGACCCATAAGAATACATGAAGAACAGGCTATAGGCTCACGTCATACTGCATCATAGTTCCGTTTGGCAGAAATACGACCAAATGTTCTATGCACCAACTGGACTACATTGTGCGATGAGGAACCATTGCTGGTTCACCCATAACAACCAACATCTACATACATAAAGCCGCTTTTATAGCGCCGCCTCGCGCTCTGAGACGCCCAATCGCCATTGCCCCCTATCAATATAAGGAGTTTCTTCGGTTGAAATGGACGTATTTCTGCCAAGCGGAACTGTGTGCATTAGGACATGAGCTCTGAGACCCATAAGAATATATGAATAACAGGCTAGGCTCAGGGCTCACGTCATACTGCATATAGTTCTGTTTGGCAGAAATACGTCCAAATGTTCTATGCACCAACTGGACTACATTGTGCGATAAGGAACCATTGCTGGTGCTTGGAACCATTTCACCCATGGGGAGGTTTAAGGAAGGCTGATGTCAACCCTTCGAAACTGGGAATTTATCCATTCTATTTTGGAAAATTCGGGTTCAATGTACAAGTTTTTGGAGTCGCTCAGAATTTTCTTCCCTACTGCCCTGCAAGACTTCCGGCCAATTCGGTAAATGGACTTCACTTTGCAATTAGGAATCACTATTTCTGGCTCAGTTATAAAAACACCTCTCCGCGTAAGGAAAGTAATGACACGTATGGTGTTTCTAAAATTTCCCAGAAATAGTTATTCCTAATTGCAACATTTAGTTGTTCAATTCTAGGTGCAATTTTTGTTTTATTGTGTGCAGTATCTATCGTATAAGCCCGTTAAGCTAATTTTGTGTATTACTATCTGATTTCAGATTCGAATAACGGAGAGCCACCAAAACTGAAGTGCAATCTTAGGAAACACAAACCAAATAGAAAACCAAGAACTCCTTTCACTACGCAACAACTACTTAGTTTAGAGAAGAAATTCAGAGAAAAGCAGTATCTTAGTATCGCAGAACGAGCGGAATTTTCTAGTTCTCTTCACCTAACTGAAACTCAGGTAATTAAAGAACTTTCGTAACTTTTCTAACTTTCGTCAGAAAGTAATCTACAAGTTTACAATCGTAAAATTTAATATTGAAATTCCCAAGAAATTAAAAAAGGTCGGGGACATATTGCAAGGATTGACGACAAACTGTTCTTACAATTAGTCTCGGTTCAAGATTGTTTTAAAATGGTTCCTTGCCTTGAAACTTGGCCCAAACCTTCCTTCTGTTTTAATTTAACTGGATATTTGGATACGTGGTGTAATCTTTTTGCAAACAATTCAGAAAAAGCTCAAAAATGTCACAAAATTCCATTCAGGGTCCTGTGTAAGGCCTCAATGTGTATTTGTAATCAGCTTCAAATACATAATATTAAATTAATGCGTTCCATTCATGGTCCTGCCTTCGTCGTGGGCCGTTTTTTGCAGGCTTTCACACGCCCCACAAATATTTTGATGGATCATTTCTCTTCAGAATGTGATAATTGGTCAATAATTAATTGACATACACCTACGGATTCTTGTAGACATCAATTAAGACGGGCCAAGAGCGGGGAACGGGAAAACGTAAAAGGCGATATTTTATTCGAGTCATTGCTCAATTTCCTCCTCCACAAAGCAACGTTGCCACGCCGAAAAATATCTCAAAACATGTGCAGTTCACGATCAGTAATAATACACACATATTTGATAATAGGAGTAAACTGACAATCAGCCGCGCGTTTCGTCGATTAGAAAAACTGACTTATTTTGATCGATGATAGGACTGATTCTGATGATCTCCCCACGATACTAATTCTCCGCTCTCTCCGTCTCCCTTTCTTCCCTCTGTGGGTTTCACGCCGCGTAATTAATTAAAACAAAAAACAAACTATAAAAACTGTAAAAAAAATTAAAAGGACCGGTGACGACGGGGAAAAAACTCGAGTGAGATTATAAGAATGACAAATTAACTGATTCAAATCCCGCCTTCCCACCGCGCCGTGCCACATTCTTGGATCTGAACTTATTTGTTCACAGCAGCTTTCTTGGCCCGCTCCCCCTCCCGAATCCGTGACAAGTGTTGGTGACCGTTGACAGAAGCTATAGCTACTCTTTTCCAGGATTGCCAAATTGAACGGAATAATTAGGCATGAATTTAAATTATAAAGAAAATACAGTAGGAACAGACAAAACTGACGGCACCGCTGGTGGCACTTTATCTTGCTTTTGGTGGATGAGCTGATCAATTTAAAAACCGGTTCCATTTCCGCTCCTGTGCTTCGTCTTTACCCTCTCGGTATTCTCTATAATTTTTAATTTTCCCAATTATTTGTACTGCGCTATCCGAGACGTGCGACAAAATGTGGCGAAAATTGATAGCCGGAATGACCCTGGCTGTGACCGCGCAATACGATTTTCGCCGTGGGAAGGTGGAATTTTTTCGTCGCTCCTGCTGTGATAATTAGGTCATTTAATTAAAATTTAATGAGAAGTCAAGCGGAACGAATTCAACCCGTTTGAAGGCCTAGAATTAAAATTGTTGGGATTCTTGACGAGCTAGCTGATTGCTGGATTTGTTACTATTTGGGCTGAGAAACCCGGAATCTCGATTGTCTTTTTGATGGTTGCCCTATTAAGTCACATTGGCTCAATTTAGTAAGGAACACAACTTAGTCGGGCTCATTTGTGTTTGACAGCCAAGATTTATAAGTCGCGCCGCTTCCAATTAATGCACATATTTCTATGATGGTCTTGATGAAAATTGATGCATTTGATTACATGTTCTGGTTTCTAAATTTTTCACGGGCGTGCACTTAGATTTTTGCAATTTTCACGAAGCAGGCTTGATAGCGATAAATCCTGATGAATTTCACCCTTAACTGCAAACTTAAGTGGCTGGACAGCAGTTAAAAAATAAAACTCAAATTGTGAAACTGATTCCACATTCACATAGGGCAACTTCTAGTTTTTCGTACACCATGGGGCTGACTCTCAGAATAACAATTATCTCATTTCGTCACACTTTTAAAGTGTTACTCATATTCTATGGCAAACGCACTAAGAAAAAAAACTATGATGCAATTTGCCAAATTAGCGGTATTCCACACACTGGAATAAATAAAAAATTGGATCTATAGTCCAGACTCTTAAAAATATCGACAAGTAAAATACTCTTGATTCAATCGGATTTTTGCTTCAATCAAGAACCAAGCCTCTGAATTTGAGCGGATTTCCTTCTGATCTAAGCTAAAAATCTGATTGAATCAAGAGTATTTTTTCTTGTCAATTTTTTCAAGAGTCTGGATCCAATGTGTTTTTTTTCCAGTGCAATAATGACTTTACCAAAATGGCAAACATAGCATTAATATTGTTTATGGGCACTATTAAGAATTAATGAGAAATACTACAAATTTGGTACTTTTAACCATAATTTTTTGAAGCTGTATCTACACAGGTAGTTTTTTTGATAATTTCCATCTTCAGAGTTCCATAAATACTAATTTGACCGTTCGAATGTTTCAGGTAAAAATCTGGTTTCAAAATCGGCGGGCGAAGGCGAAGCGACTTCAGGAAGCGGAGATCGAGAAGATGAAAATGGCGACGATCGCAGCGGCCCGACCCCACCACCCCCTGTACGGCCCTGGGCCCCCGCACCACCTACCCCCCTACTTCCAGACGCCCCACCCGGCGGAGCTGCTCCACCACCCGGCGCACCCCCTCTCCGCCCTGCTCAGCGGCCGCCACCCCATGAGCCAGTTCATGCCCCACAACATTCCTCCCCCTACGCCTGTGCCCCCACAGCCCTCGGCTAATTCCTCGCCCGGCCCCGCCGCCTCCGCCGCCGGCTCCCCCTCCCCCGCAAGTCTCTCCTAACTCCCCCCGAACTTCCCCTTATTAAGTAATTACCACAGTCAATGAGTATCAATCCTCTTAATTTATACCTTAAAGCTCCTTAGTAAACCCAAAAAAAAAACCTATCCTGATTCCAAAATTTCAATCTCTGCACGGTAAAAGAAAAAAAAAAAAACCCTTTAGAATTTAGAATCTTGGCGCTTGTTGTTATAAATGAAAGAACTTTACTATTTTGATTATTCAAAGCTCATATACACATTAAAATGCATTCACAATGAAGAATTTTCGTATTTTACGACTTGTATCTAGTTTAAGACTATCCATATCGGTAAACTAATAATTGGAAGATGTTTTTTCGGATTCTGAAATTTTCTCAAATTATGTTGAACTCTGTCGTTTCTCTTGCAATACAATCTTATCTTTGTATACAAAAATGCTTTTGTCTTGTATACAAAATGATTCTCCAACATTTGGAAATCGTCGTGGTACCATATGTGTAACTGCAGAACTGATAAGGTTTTCGTCAGGTGAGCTTTCTTGATGCTGACTTTTTATACAATTTCTAAGATTTTGAACCTGCTCTCGCTGGCATCACATGTGGATGTGATGTTTCGACTGTTTTTATTCCGTAAAACATATACTTAACTTGCTAAATGTTTTGATTCCGGCATAATTTTGACTTATTTGTACTCGCGTAGCTGACTTACTCGCATATAATTTTGTTCTATGTGATAGCTATTCTCTCTTTAACAATGAGGAAATTTGAAGCTGCGCTATTGTAAAATTGAATCCCTTGGGAAAAGTTTCATACTATTCTCATGTTTCGTCTCATTTCAGTAAAGTTAAAGTAAATATCCTGTAAAAAGCTCAATGCCGTCTGATGATGCATACGCATTTCATACACAACCAAAAATTCTTGGAAAAATCGTCAATTTGGCCAAGAATCTGAAGTAACCATTATAATTGTTGAAAACGCCCAATCCTACCTTCAAAGGCAATTCGAAGGCAATTTGAATGCAATTTTGTACCGAACACTTGTGAACAAACCACTTAAAAATATTTAGAAAGTTGATGTCAGCCTCATAAGTAATACGACTGCACTGATGGAACAAGGCACGAATGCATTTGTTCGTTTATAGACATACTGTGTATCTGTTTTCTATGGAAGTTTTACCCGGTATTCGGGAAGAACTGAAAAAGATACAGGTTGCGTAAAATCACATCCTAAACAGTTTATTTAACACATATTTCTGCTAATGTTGAAATCGATTGATTTATTAACCAAGTACGAGGTGGCGCAAGTTTTAAAAACTCAAAGTCCGTCACCCTAAGTTAGTAATTTTATCGATGATAAAAACTGTTTTTCGAACTTAATCAAACGTGAAGGAATTCAGATTTTTAAAAAAAGCGCGACGTTATACTTCCGCATATTTTTTAACTTAAATGAACGATTTAGCTAAGAAAAGCTTAAAATCCATGGCGAGTCTTTGAATATTTGATCAGGATAGGTAACTAAAACCATTTTACTTTTATTCCCTTCCAAATTTTATGCGAAGAACTTTACTTAATCTTTCTTTTTGAATAATTTTGACACATAAAAGCGTCGTTAGTTCTCATTAGAACGCGCAGCAATAAAAATAAGTTAAATATGTAACAAAATTGGCAACTTTTTTGTGCTTCAAAAATGCATACAGTGCCATATGAATTTAGTAGAGGTAATACATGTTCGAATATTTTGTATTTTCTATGAAGTCTGAAAAGTGCTTGTCCGAACTCATCTCTAGGGAGCTTTCAAACTACTACGTGGTAGGATAACCCATACCAAATCATAAATATAATGCAATTATGAACTTTCCTGTAAAATATGTACATTCGATAACGAATTAGTAAAATTAGTTTCAAAGTCTTGTTAGATGTGTCATGTTCCTTCCTTAGTTGATAATCGACTCTAAATTGTACAGAATTTTATTTATTGGTGACGAATTATGTTCTTCTTCGCAAATTGAAAATGTACATTGAGCTGTACCTATTTAGATAAGAATACGAACATACAATGTATGTTCTAAATGTTTGTGTAAAAATTGAGATGTTCATAATTGTAAAAAAAAAACCTTATTGTCCCATAATCGAGATCTGTCATCTGTGTACTTTTAGTGATTCTTTGTAAATAAGTATGCCATAATGATCATTGCAATATTTGCATGAGAGTACAGATATTTAATTTTTGAACTCTATCTTTAACTTGTTTTTATTTTAATTCTATAGGTTTTGTTCCTCTCAAAACAACCAAATAAAATCACTTTACAAAAGTAACGAGTGTTTTTTTCTTTGACTCGCACTAGAAAATTCGCTTTCAAGAGTACATACGCTTCTTCATGAGTCGGGAACCTTTGTGTAAGGTTTTCTTTCATGGCAAGAATGGTTATTTCAAAATTTTGAGATAATGTGTACGGTCATTTTACCATTAGGTATAAAACTGGAATTCACTTCATGCAAAACTTAAAGATATTCAGCGAATAGTCCTCTGGGGAGCATCCTCTCTTCGAATTTCAGTTTTAAACCCCATGCAATGCGCAGAGTAAGACACCGCGTCTCTAGTTAAAATGTATGTTTCTTTCCTAGAGATCGAGATAAAAATTGCCCCAGTAAGTCAAACTGGTAGTTACACTGACTTATTATTTATACATATAACAAGTAAATACATGCACACATTTTATAAATAATATCAATAAAAATTTGAAAGATCTCCATTTTTCATTGATTTAGTCTACATGTAAAATTGGTCATTCTGGCTTTAACAAAGATGAGGCCATTTGAGAGCCGCTAGCGTATCTGGATATGGAAGTCTGATTAATATTGACGGAAGTATCAGTAGAGTATTATTTTTTTTTAAAAAAAAAAAATGTCGGAAAAAACAAATAAAATTAAAACAGGCAAAATTAAAAGAAATTGTTTAAAATATAGGAGCAACGTACTTACAAGCGTAGGATTTAAACGCAACAAATACGTCCTCAACGTAGCAAGCAGTAGGTTACTTTTTCTTGGTCCGTCAAATTGACTATTAAAACTCTGCTGCTGCCTGTCCTCACTGGTTGGATCAGGTGTACAGGGTGCCAACAAAGTTCTTTTGCTTAATTATTACTTCCGGTAAAGATACCGTTCTCATACTTTAAACCTGCAGTGTGCATTTAAGTACCCTTCGTTTCCTGACACAAGTTTGACTGAATTTCGAACGTTACTCCGGCACCATGTACGTGTTGCTTTCCAGAACTTACCCCCAAAGCACACGCATCGACAATGAAACTACCATACCACGTATTTCGTTTGCTGTATCTAAAAGTCTCCGGTCCTTCTTGGTTTCTTTAAAGGAGAACAAAGCGGCATAATTCCTTGAAATTTTGTCAGCATTTGCTTCGCACAGAGATGAAAAACCAAGGAGGTTAAAAATTATTGACATTGCGAGGTTTTCCATTCAAAAATAAAGTATGACGGAAAGTCTGCAACGCTGCCAACCAAGATACGTGGTTTGGGAGTTTCACCATAGACATTTACCATCCTATAGAGGAACAAGGCGGTTAATGTTTCGACGGACGCCATTTTTTGTGTCAGTGCGAGGTGCAATATATCGCATCGATTCGTTCCATAATTTCTGCAGCTACTTGTCATTTTTTTAGAATTTGGAGCTCGCACTTCTGTAGTCGTGAGACTGAAGAATTCATGTACCAAATTTGAAAAAAAAAATTCAATGTGACAAAGGCAGGCTTTTTTTTTGAGTAAAAATATCGCATTCGATCCTGATATCGAAAGTGCACTCGAAGGAGACATTTTTCCTCCAAAAAATCCAGGCTTTATTACGTTGAATTACTTTGTCTTTGGTACATGAATTCTCTAGTCTCATGACCACAGAAGTGCGATCTCAAAATTCGACAAAAATGACAAGTAGCTGAGATTATGGAACGATTCGATGCGATACATCGCACGTCGCTCTGACACAAAAAAAGGCGTCCGTCGAATCACCTTAAACTTGAGATGAAGCAGCTGTTGGGACCAAAAACTTGAGAGGATCCTGTTGATCTCTATATAAGCGACATCAAGAGACAGGGAGGCACCTCCATTATATGAGAGCGCCAGATTAAAGTTGTAATCCGAATTAAGGTTGAATGAGGTTGAGACCCGCGGAGGGCAGAAGTGCCTCGCGTCGAGAACACGATAGGTTTACAATTTGTTTCTCGATACATTTGTCAAAAACCAGAGCGCTCAATCATCCTGCCAAATGCCCGGATCACTCCATTTTCTGCTACAGTAATGCCAACAATGAAAACACCCTGAAATAGCAATCAAATCAAAGTCAATCGTCCCCGGCGATAAAAGGGACGCCAACCCGGCTCCCTGCGAGGGTCCGCCTTTCAAAAGGATAAATTGTTACGGGAAGGTGAATATAGAGAGGTTGAAGGTTAGGTGGGTTTATTATTTTGAAGTTTTCATTCAGGAATCGGTCATTGAATGCTGCAGGCAGGCGCATTAAAAAGCAGTGTTTCATGGTTGCTGAGCACAGACAATTGAGTGCGATGAGCCTTATAATACAAGTAAACCATAGCTCAACCATAATATCGGGTCGTGCACTACTGAGACGCCAAATCCCTTCAAAAATGCCGTCGTTTGCGAGATTCTAAAGAGATAAATAATTACGAGATGCGCGATTTTGCAACGCTATAATGGCGCACGCCCAAAGGCACCATTGCCACAGCAGGGAAAAAATCATAGGAATCTTGAGGTAAGATTTGATAGAAGAGTTTTTCAAATTAAGCCTGCGCTAACAGGGTGAGATCAAGGGTTAAACTTAAAAAAACAGAAGGAGAAGAATAATAAGAAGGGGAAAAAGAAAGATTTCCCTGTACATATATTATATTCTGAGCCATTTTCGCTTGAAAATATCGAATCACCCACCGAAAACCCTGAACACAAGTCCACCGGACATGCGGGCTGTATCAACACTGATCGAAGGAGTATGTTTCTGTGCCTCTGCACGGAAAAGTTTGGTGTAAGCACTTAACTAAGTCGACGGTTGGATGGTGCTTTACGTTGACAGTCAATCGCATCTATAAAAATGTGCTTTCTGAATTATTTCGGTGGGCTAAAAATGATAGAAATACACATTTGATTGTATTTTTTCAATCAACGCGCACGTAGAAATTAACTACAACACGTTCTATAAACCGTAAAGAAGACGTTGATTAGACAAGTTTTTTTTTTTTTTTTCCGTGCAATATTCAATGACACGAAATTGAATTTTCAAGTCTGACTGTAGGTTTCAAATTAATAAGGCTCAAACGAGAATTTAGTCTCTCAGGAATCAAATAGTCTTCTGTGGAGCGGTAAATTTGGCAGCTTTGTCAGATGAATCAGGAGGAATAAAGGCCCCTAACAGTCAGCAAGCCATTTTATTTGAGTGTGTGTGTGTGCGTGTAAAAGCAGGAGAAGAGTTCACAAAATTGATGAGCCGTTTAATTTATGTGGCCATGGCGCACGAAAAAGGTCACAGATTTTAATTTGACTCAGTTCATTATGATATTAGAATGAGAATAGGCGAATTATATACTCATTCATCGTGCGTACGCGGCTCCTATGAATTAATTTATATCAAACGATTGTTGATACAGTTTATTACAACAAAACCAACGGTTTTTTTTTAGTGTATTTTCTGAAGGCTTTTTTTTTTTTTTGAACATTAAACCTCTAGAGTGCGTTCACATGAGAGTTGTTACCATACTTTCGATTTCCCGCTGGGCATGGAAAGTTGCGATTAAGATCCATCTATACAGGCAAAAATCATTTCGATTAAAGACGTTTATGAACTGAGCACATAGGTCTCATACAGTTCCGGCTTCTTTGCAGAAGGGAGACGACAATCTGCTATCTGAAAGGATTATACTTGATTCTGTGACTGGCAAAACTGACACATTCGTCTCTGAAACCACTTTCATTTAAGGGACTTGGTGTGTTGGAAATTTTGCAACGATCGTTGTTGCTCTGTGGCCGCTAGTTTTAAAAGGACAAACTTTGATTTGAATATTACTGGGAAGGAAACTGTGTTATTCTATTGATATAATATTCAAAAGAGAGCATCTCCACTGACCACCGCTTGTGGCGCGGGTCTGACACAACGCGAGTTGGGATTTTTCGGGGTTTTCGGCAAGGCAGGGAGGAAAATTTTCCAGAGCGCCCGTAAGAACCCCACCCGTGTCCATAATTTCAACACCGAATTTCTAGAAGAGACAACTGGAATGGAGATGTTTCATGTGTGAGGAATTTGCGATTTGACAGTTGATTTTTATGTAAAAGTTGGCGAGAAACACGATGGTGCCACTGGTTTTCTTTGAAATCAACTCCCAAGCTCGAAAAAAGCTCTCAAGTCGAGGGCAAAATGGAGGAAATATCCCCCGCTATCCTGAAAGCCCACCTCTACATCAAGACAAACTCTCCATGCAAAGATAGGGAGCAAATACATTGACAGGGCTGCCACTTTATTTGGGGACTCTAAGATTGAAAACACGACCCCTATCTTTTGCTTGAAGAGTTCGTCTTGATGTAGAGGTGGACTCTCAGGATACCGTGGGATGTCCCCTCCATTTTGGCTGCAACTTGAGAGCGTTTTTATCTTTTAAGTTGATTTCAGAGAAAACCAGTGGCACCATCGTGTTTTTCGCGAAATTTTACGTAAGAACCAATAGTCAAATCGCAAATCCCTTACACATGCAACATCTCCATTCCTAGCGTCCCAATGCAATGCGGTTCTGATTGTCGCAACAGGAACCACACGGAGCCAACGGGAATTCCGGTTGCCTCAGAAATAATTCCGGTGAGGAAATTATTTCCGCGGACGGTGGAGTTTCGGCTCCACAAACGACTCGCGGGACCCAGCCCCGCCACTCGGCAAGCCGAAAGGAGCAGCGTAAAAGAGCGCAGAGGGATCGCGGGCGCAAAGAGCATGCGCGACTCAATATGTCCCGAGTCTGTAGGGGGCCAATTACAAGCTCATTCAAACACCCCCTTCGCCCCGCACCCCTTCAGCCCCTTCACATATGCTTCCCGCCATTCGCTTCTCCTTCGTGGCAATCAATTCGAGCCGAGCCCTTATCGCGACACCCTCCCCCACCCCACCGCCCTCCCCCGGCGACTTCCCCTCTCTCGACGGGAAAACACTCAGAAAATTATTATTTTTCCTTTTTCGCCTCTCATATTACATTTTATTGGGATGTTCGGGGTTATTTTTCCTCTCGCTCTCTCCTCATTTCCGCCACTTTCTTAACTTG